AAGAACAAAGAAATAGGAAGACAATGATGTCAATCTAAATAAGGGGATTCAAGTGGTTTATGAAGAACAAGACTTTTCAGATGAACTGTTGAAAGGATGACACTGAAAAAGGTGTAGAGGTCTGGGGAAGGTGTCCCCTACTGGTTGAGGAAACAGGAAAATGTGTGCTACCATTTGTGAGGGGAGAAGTAGAATCTCAGGGCAGCCAGGACTCAGCCTAAAACAAAGGTTAATAGAACTTCCCGTCCATAACATGCACAGATCAAATGATGGGCACCCATGAGGTGGAAAACATCTCCCAAGCCCTAAAGTTAGCTTCTGAGTTAAAAATCCCAGAGATGACCAGAGGCTAAGGTTGTGGAAAGAGTAAAAGGTCTCTTCACCTATGGAATGAAGGCTCTTTTACAGGAACTAACCATGGCTGACAACACAAAGAATTTGAACCCTGATGACTTATGTTTACCGATCATTATTTATATGCTTAAGTATGTGAACCCCATGTGACTTTTGTAGACTTTTACTCTCATTCCAGGCAGACCCTCCATGTTGTCTGCAGTTAGGAGTCAGGAGTTATATTTAGGAAAAGAGGACCTGAGATCAGGTACCCAAGTACAACTCAGGGTGGTAGAGAGAATTTCATTAGAACTGTAGCACCAACTGATCAGATACCTATGTGCAATTCTGTCCCTGGAGGTGAAAGTTGGTATACTTTCCCCACCACATAGCTCTTAATATCTGAGTATACCTTTTTTCTTCCCAGAAAGTCTACCTAGGAGTTGTTCTATTCTTTTTTAAAAAAATATTTATTTTTTTTAGGTACAGATGGACACAACGCCTATTTATTTTTATGTGGTGCTGAGGATTGAATCCAGGGCCTCACCCATGCTAGGTGAGCGCTCTACCACTGAGCAACAACCCCAACCCCAGAGTTTTTCTATTTTTTTTGAGAGAGAGAGAGAGAGAGAATTTTTTAATATTTGTTTTTTAGTTTTCAGTGGACACAACATCTTTATTTTATTTTTATGTGGTGCTAAGAATTGAACCCAGTGCCCCACCCATGACAGGCGAGTGCGCTACCGCTTGAGCCATATCCCGAGCCCCAGAGTTGTTCTATTCTTATCTGAAAGTTATAACTATTAGCTTAGGGAAGTATCTTCAGCCAGTATATAGGTTTTGCTGAATCAATTATATTCAAATTTTTATTTATTTATTTAAAAATATGTATTTGGTTGTTGATAAAACTTTATTTATATGTGGTGCTGAGAATCATACCCAGTCCTTCACATATGCCAGGCAAGTACATTACCGCTGAGCCCGAGCCCCAGCCCCAGCCCTCACATTTTTATTTTTAAATTAATTTCCTATGTCAAGCAACTTTTCCAAAGTCAAAATATTCCATGTACAACTTCAGTTTCTGGTCAAGTTGGAGAAACAGGAACTAGATTCACTCTCTTGCTGTAAAAAGCTATAAAGGCACACATAATATATGAAAAATAGTTCTGAATATATTGTGTGCCAAGCAAAGGACAGTGATCCCTGAGGGATGGGCACAAAGTAACTGAGCCCTACCATTGTCACATTTCTTTCTGCTGGAGAAAATACCAATGGGAAGGCAACCCAGATGGAATGTGAAAATCTCCTCAGGTGAGAGGTTGGATTTACAAATATGGGGTGGGGGGACCGAGGCACCTGGCATTCACAGCCAGAACAACAGAGAAAACCCTACATGTGAGCACCTCAGAGATCTGCAAAGGGTCCCTTCCTGTCTTCATTCAAGAACCAATGAGCGTGTGAGGAAACTACCACAGAGCAGGAAAAGAACTATCAAAAAGACAAGTGAGAGCTAGAAGTGGTGGCATGCCTGTAATCCCAGCGACTCAGGAGGCTTAGGAGGTCACAAATTTGAGGCTATCTGGGCAACTTAGTGAGATTCTACATCCAAAAAAAAAAAAAAAAAGAAAGAAAGAAAGAAAAAGAAAAATTTCCAGATAGCACAAATGCCCCCAATTACTGTCTGTTCTACTATCAAAATAGAGAAACCTTTCAATTCATATAGCATCATTAAAATTCTCCAGAATTTCATCACAGCAATGGGAAAATTAGCCCTAAATGAAACACTTCTCTGGTCTTTCCTAAAAAAGCTTAAGTCCCAAAAGGACATGCTTTCCAAGCAATGTCCAATTGCTTCCCAATTGCTTAACCGTATTTTAAAACAAAGCTCAAGAACATTTACAAGAATATAAACTTTCAAACCACAATATCTGACATGCAATAAAAAATAAACGGGTATATAGAAGCAGGAAAATAAATCCAAAATGAGATGAAAAAGCAATCAATCAAAATAGGCTCAGAGTGACAAAGGCAGTGAAACTGGAAGACATTAAAGCAAAAAAAAAAAGTAAAGGGCCCTGGATTCAACCCCCAGTCCCCCCCCCCCCCCCAAAAAAAAAAGTGAAACTAGCAGATCAGAGAGCTATAGAAATATTTGAATAATCAGTTCTACACAGGAAAAGGCTTATATGGAAAAGTAGGTATCAATGCTGATCCAGATCATTGGCAAATGAACCAAATGGCCTCCAAAGTTCTTGATTTTTATTATTTGAATATTGTGCAGTCTTGCAATTGTGTCAATAGCAATGGTGACTCTTTTGTGCAAATCTCTATTGGTGTATAGAATCCCAAATTCCAAGGAGTTTAAAGGGAAAAATTTGAACTGCATTCTAGTCCATTGTAAGTGGAACAAAAAAATATGAGCGACCTAAAAAATATTCTGTGATTAGGCTGGGGTTGTAGTTCAAGTGGTACAGCACTTGCCTAACGTATGAGGCTAAATAAATAAATAAACAAACAAACAAATAAATAAATAAAAATGTCCCTCGACAACTAAATTTTTTTTTTAAGATTCTGTGATTGGATTTATAACAGTTTCATTCAAGAAGCTGTGTTGGGGTTTTTAGCCCCCCACCCTCCCGTTCCCTCCTGACCTGCAGGAGAGATTGGGGAGAGCATGCCCCAACCAGGGCAAGCCAAGAAAGGCAAAGGTCACAAAGGTCGACTGACTGCCCCACTCAGCCCTCCCCCACTAGAGGACAATCAGTCAGGGAGACCAGTCAAAGCAGGATCTCAGTTTATTGAGAAAACACACACAGCTAACATAATGTACAGGAGCCAATCAGGATAAAGGTCAGCAGAATGGGGCGAGTTCATGTGTACACCCATCCTACAGGCTGTAATGGGAGACACGAGCTGTGAAGGGTTCTGAGCCTATCCCAGGGGTGGTCTGATTTTTCGTCACACCCATGGCAACACCTTCTGGCTGACAGCCAGGTGCTATCTTAGCCACATGTGGCCCTAGGACAGGGAAGCGGGTAGCAAGTTAGGTTTCCTCTTTTCTGATGCAACATGCCCCACATGTTACATCATACCCTACAAAGCTGAATGCTATCTTCAGGGCAAAAACCTGTCTTCAAGGTTTTAATTTTGGATAATGCCCTATTCCATTGCCATCAAGAACTTGAAAATTCTCACCCCAAACTAGATGTTCTTTTCATGTCCCCTAATGCTATATTTGTTATCCAATCTCTCAATCAGGGAACACCAGGGCACACTTAAAAAGCTTCCAAAATGTTTCAACACGAGGGAGCTTTACAGCAAGTCTTGCAAGGCTCTCATCACCTAGGAAACCACCATGAAAGACCAATGGAAGTCAGTCACTATATGTAGTTATAGTGCTGACAAAGCCTGGAATTGGCTCAACAAGCCACTATCAACGATTGTTGGAAAAATATTTAAGTAACTGGATCATATGAAACATTTTGAAGGCTTTGAAAAAATTATAAAAAGTAGGAAGAACAGTATTGAACAGAATGCACAGTGCAAGGCAAGTAAGCAGAAAAGGCATCAATGACATGAAAATATGGAGAACATTTTGGCAGGAAAGTCCCTAGAACCCACCAACGAAGACAGACGAGATGCAAAATGAGGCACTGAAGCCAGTAATGACAGGATAGTGAAAACGTCAGCCTTATTCCATAAATTGTCCTTTTCACAGTAGCTAAAATATCAAACTGGAATTCTGCCTTGGAAAAATGTTCAATGACATCTAAGAATACGACCCTATGCTTAAATGCAACTTCAGATTGATGCCCCAACTTCATTTGTGTGGAATGCTTAAAGTGAAAAGCCAAACAGGGCTGATAAAGTTTCAAGCCATTTTTGGAGGGAAAATTCCTGATACTGTCAACAAGTGGCGAGTCAAGCTCTTGAGGGAGCACTAACAGATGTTAACATGTCACCCTCATAAATGTTTTACTCTTCTGCAGAATAAGTTTCATCAGCCTCTTCTTGGGGCAAGTCAAGGTCAAGAGGTTTCATCACACTGAGTGCTGTCTTATCACACATCCTGCAGCTCTACTGAAAGTAAAATTTAAATCTTTAATAGATTTTTTTCTATGGATGTTTTTATTTGCCTGGATGAATAGACCATATGCTCAAAGTACTGTTTCCTATGAATAACATAGTGTTTATTGTACATGAGTATTGTACATGTATACTGTGCATGTTATGTATATAATTGAGTTAAAGCAGTACACTAATATACATTATACCAAAATACTATACTTAAAACATTTATTGTAAAGGAAAGTAATTATAAATTTTTACAAAATATATATTGGATTCAAAGCTAGCCTTAGCAACTTGGCAAGATTATGTCTGTAAATGAAATAAATATTTCATTTACACACATGTATATGGCTGGGATGTGGCTCAGTGGTTAATTGCTCCTGGGTTCAATCCCTGGTAACAACAACAACAACAACAAATATATATATA